GCTTCCTAACTCTTCTCTTCCTCTTTGGTAGTCTTTGGTATCATATGAAAATGATGCTCTCAGCACTGAATGTGCTATTTCACTTTGCTGGCCCGATGTAGGTGTTAGTTTTGTGCTGTGCTCTCCCACAGAGTAACACTCTCATGTAATGAACAACATGTATTTCCAAGGCAACTAACTAGGGTTAGAACTGATCTGGCACCATTTGCTCGTGGATTCACTGGCCTTGCGTGTCAGTGGGTGTGGTAGGAAATGGACCAATGTGCTTGACCAATCCATACTATGTTTTAGTAAAGTAGTATGTATTTTAAATGTTGGATTTTAAAAGGAGTTTAAAGAAACTAGAACATAGAAATTACAAAAAGAAAAGCAGTAAACACAGTACAGGCTAGAATATACGTTCTGAGGANGTTTAAAGAAACTAGAACATAGAAATTACAAAAAGAAAAGCAGTAAACACTCAGTACAGGCTAGAATATACGTTCTGAGGAATATTGGTTATATATACTTTATATATATGTTAAATATACTCTATTTTTTAAGAGAAGTTTTTGCTTTAAAGCAAAATTAAGTGGAAATTACAGAGAGTTCAAGTATACCCATCTCCCTCCACACCCACAAGCTCCCTCATGATCAGCATCCCCCACCAGAACTGTACATTTATTACACTGGATGAACCAACATCGACACATCACTATCATGCAAAGCCCCTAGTTGACATTAGGCTTCACTCTTGGTGTTGTAATTTCTATGAGTTTGACAAATGTGTAATGGCATGTCTAATCTGTTCAGACTTCTAAACAGAATATTATAGAATGGGTGGTTTACAAACAACAAACACTCATTTTTCACAATTTCGGAGGCTTGGAAGTCCAAGATCAAGCTGCCGACAGATCTGATGTCCAGGAAAAAACTGCTTCCTCATAGACAGTGCCTTCTTGCTGTGTCCTCACAAGGTAGAAGGCGCAAGGGAGCTGCCTCCAGCCACTTTTACGAGGCCACTAATAGGGTCATGAGGGCTCTGTGACCCAATCACTTCCCAAGGGACCATCTCCAAATATCATGACCTTGGGGATTAGATTTCAGCACATGAAATTTGGGGAGACACAAGCATTCAGTCTATTGCATGGCATGTATCCACCATTACAATGTCATACAGAATGGCACTACTCTAAAAATCCCCTGTGCTCTGTGTACTCAACTATTCCTGCCCCTCAGCTCCTGGCAACCATTGATCATTTTATTCTTTCCACAGTTTTGCCTTTTCCAGAATATCATATAGATGGAATCAGACAATGTGTAGCCTTTTCAGATTGACTTTTTTCACTTAGTAATATACATTGAAGGTAGTGCTAAGATTTTTCAGCTTAAAACAGAGAACAATTAAAACTGTACATTTTTTACAAGATTGTATGAAAAGACATTACCTATAATAATTAGGTAAATCCATGTGCAACATTAAAATATAAATACATTGATACTAAAATTTCAGGAAAAGTTCAGGAAAATTTCTTAACTTCTCAAAGAGAGACTATAGCAGGATACTTTCAATTCAAAAGATAAACACAGTACACTTTCCATAAGCAAGCAATTTATTTGAAATGAGGACTGGAGGAAGCTTTTATATTAAAAATAATCTATATGCAGAATTTTCATTAGATAAAACAAGAGACTTAAAAGAACTGTCGAGCCTACAGAGAAGAGCTTCCGGCTAAGAGTCTCCATAGACTCCCACAGGGGTGCACATTCATATTCCTCTTGCACAGAAATACTTCACTGGAAAATTTGAGAAGTGATTCAGGGGAGATTTAATTTTTAAGACAAGGTACATTTTGATGGTTGGATGTACCTTTGATCGGGTTCCTAGGGATGTGGACTCTGAGGCAAAGATTCCCATGTAGAAGGTTTATTGGAAATTCTCTCAGGAACAAGCCCTGTGAAGTGAAGGAAGCAGGACTGGTCAGTGGGAGGACTGAGCTGTGAGGCGGGTGCAATAGGGGCCGCAGTGGATGGGGAACTCTGGAGCTGTGCTGGCCCTCATAGATGTCCCACATCGAGACATAGGGGTTGGGTCATCTTATCCACAATTAACCAGTCAATGAATGGAGCTGTGAGGTGGTGTACTCGTTTATTTTTAATTTTTAAAAAATTTTTATTTATTTTTAAAAATATGTCTTTATTGATTTTAGACAGAAGGAGAGTGAGAGAGAGAGATAGAAACATCAATGATGAAAGAGTCATTGATCAGCTGCCTCCTGCATGCCCTCCCACTGGGGACAGAGCCCGTAACCCGGTCATGTGCCCTGACCAGGAATCGAACCTCTATCTCCTGGATCATTGGTCATGCTCAACCACTGAGCCACTTCGGCCCAGCAAGGTGATGCACTTTTAGAGGGAAATTCCTGGAGCTGAACTCAGCTGTGAGTTGTCATCTGGTAATTTCCTGACTGTTGGGGGAATGAACACCTTAATCTTGTTGGAAGACTGAATCCATTATAGTCAGTACAAGACAGAATGCTTTAGAGAGAGCACAAGCTCCTCAGCTTTTTTGTAAAGAAGGGACTAGAATAAGTGAGTTGTGAGCACCTTCTGATATAAATGGCTCTGAAATTTGATGACATTGCTACCTCAAAATAAAAGAGAGAATTTTGTTTTTTCATATCTAATGTTAGGAAAAAATATAAAGGAGCACACACACACATTTGAAATAGAGTGAGAAACATAGGAATTTGTGTTTGTCTTGGAATAGAGAAAATTAGTTCCCTCTTTTTTTTTTTTTTTTTTTTTTTTTTTTTTTT